GGCTGCTGCGTGTCCAGATCGCATGAGGTGTTGGGAGGGGCAGGGGATGGGACTAGGACACGTGAAAACAACAAAACATGCTGTTGGGCTGTTATAAGGCGTTGGTGAATTTTCAGTGTTTCGAAAAATTTGATTTTGACAATTTTTTTTGCCTGTGGGCCTGTTGCTCATATTGAGGGGTAGCAGGTTGGTGATCCCCACTGTGTCTTTCCAGGGCGTGCATGCACTCCGAGGAGACTTTGAAGTTTTCTTTTGGCGACCTGTTTATCTGAGGTTGCTTTCTCTTCTCATTGGATTTAAAACGAGTTCGTTTTTCAGGTTGCAGATGCTCTGAGTGTTTGAATGAGGCTTTTCAACTTGACTATTGAATGGTCTGGCATGATATTTTAAACACAAACACGTTTGTTTTTCTTCTCTCAGACTAGTTTAAGAAGAAGTAAACAAAAACAAAAATCCTACTTTTAGGAGCCATTGCGTAATTGAGTCAATGTCAAGACCCTTGTGCCATAATGGTTTACTGATGCATGAAAATATTCATTCAAGGAGCAAGTAATCCTAGCAAACCCCTCTGCTCTGTGTGTTTTCAAAAGCAGTGGTTGAGCTTATTTCAACTCCCGGCGACACAGTAGAGTTCACATTGCAGTTTTTAGGTTACCATGTTGCCTTGTCTTTTTCCCACGGAGCTATGGTGGGTTTGAACTGCCTACCTTTTGGTGAGCACCACTTGCCACTTGACATTTGGACCACTGTGGCTTCTTATAAACTCCTCTATAGAATAGAAAAATCTTGATAGCATAGTTTTGATGCAAGAAAGGAGAAGTCTCGCCTTATCCGACTCACTGTCATTGAGCCAAGTCCAGCTCGGAGCAACCCTCGCAGCTTCCGGGGCTGTGACCGTTCTCAGGAGCAGACAGCCTCAGCTTCCTCCCACGCAGCAGCCAGTGTGCTTGAACCGCCACTCTTTTTTTAAAATCGATTTATTAGGGACTCATACAACTCTTATCACAATCCATACATACATCAATTGTGTAAAGCACATTTGTACATTCATTGCCCTCATCATTCTCAAAACATTTGCTCTCCACTTAAGCCCCTGGCATCAGCTCCTCCCTCCCCGCTCCCCCCTCCCTCATGATCACTGGATAATTTACAAATTATTATTTTGTCATATCTTGCACTGTCCGACTTCTCCCTTCACCCACTTTTCTGTTGTCCATCCCCCAGGGAGGAGGTTATATATAGATCTTTGTAATCAGTTTTCCCTTTCTACCCTCTTGGTATCACCACTCTTACCACTGGTCCTGAAGGGTTCATCTGTCCTGGATTCCCTGTGTTTCCAGTTCCTAGCTGTACCAGTGTACATCCTCTAGTCTAGCCGGATTTGTAAGGTAGAACTGGGATCATGATAGTGGAGGGGAGGAAGCATTTAGGAACTAGAGGAAAGTTGTATGTTTCATTGTTGCTACACTGCACCCTGACTGGCTCGTCTCTTCCCTGTGACTCTTCCTTCCGTAAGGGGATGTCCAGTTGCCTACAGATGGGCTTTGGGTCTCCACTCTGCACTCCCCTCATTCACAATGATATGATTGTTTGTTTCTTGATGCCTGAAGCCTGATCCCTTTGACACCTTGTGATCGCACAGGCTGGTGTGCTTCTTCCACTTGGGCTTTGCTGCTTCTGAGCTAGATAGCCGCTTGTTTACCTGCAAGCTTTTAAGACCCCAGACGTATCGTTTGATAGCCGGCACCATCAGTTTTCTCCACCATGTTTGCCTATGCACCCATTTGTTTTCAGCGATTGTATCCGGAAGCACTTCATCATTTCTTTACATCACTTTAGCGCCCCTATGTTCAAAATCAGGTTTCAGAGTAGTTTCTTTTGATATCCATTTGGTCTTTTCTCCCTTTCTGTCTTTTTCATGATCATTCGCTTTCTTTATGTATCTGGTCTTCTGTCATTAGTGCTGCCAACCCTAGGCTCATCTTGTGACATGATGTCAGACAGGGTTCTGTTGTTATGTTTAAGGTTTTCAGTTATGTTCCTGTTTTGTTCCCTCCAGTTCCTTTTTTCTATTCTGTCTTAGTCTGGAAGCTGCCGAAATCTGTTTAAAATACCAGTTTCAGCATTACAGAAAAACACACACACACACACACACACACACACACACACGCCTCCACAGGATGCCAAACTGATAGGTGGTGGAATCTGAGACTAGAATTCCTAAAGAGTAATATTTGAAGGAAGAGTGGTTCTTTTTTTTTGTATGAATGTGTGTGTTCAAATCCGTGAATAAATGGTAATTGTCACATAATACCAAGTAAGAACTTGGCCTTTGCATTGAACTGTGATGGTTAGGTCCGATTCTTATCTGTAGCTTTGGTAAGATAAAGTATTATAAAGTTAAACTATTTCCTTAAGTAAACATCATATGTTCTAATCAATGGGCCATTAACTTTCCAGTGTTTTTTTTTAAAGACTAAGAAGATTTTTTTTTAAAGGTCACATGGAAGTATGAGCCTGCTTGTTACGTAGTGTGGTGGGACTGGGAATGAGTCTCTGCTAGCTCTCTGAGCCATTGGTCATTAGAATGGGACCTATGGCCCATTTTGCCCTGCACAAATGCCTTGAGACTTCCGGAATACTGTCATTTCCTTCATTGTACTTAGTAAAGATTGTTTGTAATGATTGTCACCAAGTAGTATGTAAGGATCTTTTGATTATAGGCTCTGTTTTATTTTTATTTCAAAGCATGTGTTTATTTTATGTTCAATCTTGAAAATTGTTATTTAGGTATTTTAAAGTCTACCTACTCTCGGTGGGTGATTGAAAGTGGGAGATTGGATTTATAAATTGAGTGGGCATCTAAATGAACAGTGAGTTTGGATTAATACTAGTACCATTGAGTATCTGTAGGAAGGCTGTCAGGCAGAGGGAATGCAGAGTTGCATCTTGCTTGATGGTCTTAGAAATGCTCTGATGGACGGAGCAGCTCTGAGATCATATAAGGCCACTCACAGCATTGTTTGCTTCTGACCGCAGAGTGTCACAGTATCTTCCGAGAGCTGTCTGCTGGCCGTAGGCAGAGCCAGCACACTTTTGCTCTGATGCCCAGCTTTGTGCTTAGCCATAGTAGTTCAAAGGTTGACTGTGTGTGTCTGTGAGCTTCTGTGTAGTAAGATGTTTTTATTACCTGGAGACAGTGGATCCTGAGTTCACGTATAGTCAACTATAGAATAGCAATCTTATGAATGAAGGGCCTCATCCCTTGACTGTGCAGTATATATATACTGTGGGCCACTTTCCAAACTAAGCTCCTTTTTAGAGAACTGCACTTGGTGCTCGCAGCCTACTCACCCAGATTCTGATGGCATTTTTTGGGTGGCTCATGGTACTCGTTGGAGGCATTTTTTGGGTGGCTCATGGTACTCGTTGGAGGCATTTTTTTGGGTGGCTCATGGTACTCGTTGGAGGCATATCTGAATCTGTGTGTGTTGCATGCCCATGGATGGGGTTGAAAGAAGAGGACTTTGTGAGGGCTAGAGCATAGGTTCTACAATGTATCTATCGGGCCTACGGTCTCCTTTTCAGGATAAAATTACTCAGCACTCCCTGGCAATGGAAACTTTGGTACTCAATAGCCCATAATCTAGGATTAAGTATAGGTAACCTCCCTGGATCATTCTAGGAGTAATCTATCTATCTATCTATCTATCTATCTATCTATCTATCTATCTATCTATCTATCTATCATCTATCTATCTATCTATCATCTATCTATCATCTATCTCTATATAGATATAGATATATATCTCTTATTGAACTTTCTGTAAACACAACTCTGATTTCTGAGAAAGGATGGAAAGAAGGAAATCGAGAGAATTAAGTAGAAAATATTTCAAGGTGTTCTTCCTCTCCCCACTTCCTTCCCAATAATGCAGGAAAGATTGAAACCCTCTGACAAGTGAGGCGGGCAGGAAACACCGCCACCTAGTGGTGGCAGCGTGAACAGCTGTAGCCATGGTACAGCCATCCCTCCAGGGCCACTCTCCTCTTCACGCTGAGTTGCAATACTCACTTGGGTTGCTAATTCTTCGAGGTATTAATGAGGCAGAAACTATTATGCACTATCCTATCATGTGAATGCCCTTAGAGGTCAGTAGGATATTCTGGTGTACATGAGGGGGCTTCAAGAAATGTAAAGGATTAGTATAAAAAAAGGATTGGTGAATCTCTACCATTTGTGGAGTTTGCATGTTGTATCAAAGAGTTATACTCAGGACCTAATGCCGGGGGCTTAAGTGGAGAGGAAATGTTTTGAGGATGATGAGAGCAATGAACGTACATATGTGCTTTACACAGTTGATGTATGGATTGTGATAAGAGTTGTATGAGCTCCTAATAAAATGATTAGAAAAAAAGAGTTATACTCAGTTACTAATATCTTCTTTACTCAAAAATATACCCTAAAGTCATCTTAAAAGTTAGCCCGCCTGCCTGAGCATTATGCTATTTTAGCACTAGTCTATTTGGAATCAAATTTATAACACATACTTAAAAATTACAGACTTTATGGGGTAATGAGTTTGTTAATGAGAAAGGGGGCAAATGGTTACACAGCTGCAAGATGTAACCAGTATCACTAAATTGTAAATGTAAAAACTGTTTTACTGTCAACAAAATAATCTTAGGAAAATCTTCCCTTTAAAAAAAAAAAAGAAATTTAAAGGAAAATAAAGGTCATGAAACCATTTTATTATCTCGTATTTCTGATTTTACACAAACTAAAAAAAAACATTTAAAATCAGTTTTGATTTACTTTTTTTAAATGTAGTTTGCTATGGAGTGAGTTTGAAACACAGTTTTACTTGCTTATTGACATACTGGAAAATGGATTTTTATTCATTTCTCATTTGGTCCCTCCCCTCCCTGCCCCATAACTCTCAAAGTCTTTTTCTTGTGGTGTGAACATTTTTATTGAGACAAAAATAATTATTTTTCAGGAGCAAGACAACGCTGTCCAAAATATGCACAAGAAAGTAGAAAAATTAGAAGGCGAACACATGGAGTGCTCTGACCTCTTACGGCGCCAAACGAGTGAACTTGAATTTAGCACTCAGCGGGAAGAGCGTCTTAGGAAAGAATTCGAGGTGCATTTTCTCCATCCCTTTAATAACACCGTATGTTATCCTCTCTGTGATTTGGAGGTTAGGGACAGTCACGTTCTGAAGCAGAAATCAAAAACTAATCTCTCTGGGCGCTTTGCTTTATGTCGGATATTTCACTTCTCTAAAAACTTTTGGATCTTGACTAAACTATTTTATATTTTGCTTCCTTACTTTTTAAATGTCTACACTTTTAACAGTTCTCATGGGGTCATTAGGAGTTTTGAGGGTAATCGATTACAGGAAAACATTTTGTCCGCACAGGTCTTGAGTAACAAAAGTAACAGTAAATGCTGACTTTGTTGTTCGAATCCGGGGTACTTTGTGCCTACTTGTGTGGGATGCTTTCCAGGGGAGACTTGGATGCAACAGGAGCACCAACTTATAAATGAAAATATGATCTTTTTATGAGTCGATGACATTGATAATTACTTCAAACTTGAAAAATGATCATCTTAAAAAAAAACTTTGAACTTCTAGTCTTCATATATTCAACAAAAATATACTCCTATTCTTTAAAAAAAATTACTTCAAACTTGAAAGACATCTAATTTATTTGTTAATTGTTCTCCCTTGTCAAAATGCCTTTGTGCTTTGTTGAAAAATGGAGTATTTCAGTGGATCACACAGGTTTTGTCAACAATTTACACTCTTTATTAAGTAAAGAAACTCTTATAAAGAGTATTTCATGAATTGCAAGAGGTACTCTCTGTATACCTTCTGCTGTCATGTGACATTGTTCGGGGACTCTTTAGTTAGAAAGAGTAATGAGGGGGATTAATGTTACCTAAAGCCAAACCAAATTCACTGCCATTGAGTCAATTCTGACTCATAGAGACCCTGTAAGACGAGGCAGAACTGCCCCTGTTGTTTCTGAGACTGTAACTCTTTATGGCAGTAGAAAACCTCCTCTTTTTCCTGTGGGGTGGCTAGTGGTTTTGAACTGCTGACCTTGTGGTTAGCAGCTCAATTTATTACCATTATGCTACCATGGCTCCATTTTACCTGAAGTTAATACTTATGATAAAGCTTCGGTAATATATCTTTTTTTTCCTACTTACAAGAATTTTATAAATGCACAGGTATAGTCCTCTGACTAATCTGTGAGCCTTTGTATTTAGACAGTTTTCAAAACTTTGCTAAAGGACTGTATTTTGCAGGTGGTGACATATTGGACGAGCAGTTATATTTCTGGTTGTTTTTTGCTGTTGTTTTAACGATGAGGGCCTGGGAGCAGGGGACAGAAGTTTGCACAGGCTAGGCCACCCCTCCCTCCGTAGGCCATGGCTCTTCCCTGGCTCTAGGCCCGAGCCCCAGAGGATGGAGTCGCCTGAGGCTGTCAGTGACTCTCCTAAGCAGTTCTATTTCTAATGTGTACTTGATACTAATTGCATATCCATTGTGGAGCCATTAACCACCCTCATGGGCAATTCATGTGTAATTATCACTTGTATTTGTTTAATGATTAAGTTAATGTGGGATAATAGTAAAGATGAAAACTGCCAAACTTTGAATTTAATAAAATATAATTTAATATATTTTTTTAGCCTTAATATCAGACTAAGCAACTAATATAATAGACATTTAGCCTTGGAAATGTTTTACATTTTAGTGATGCTTTTTAACAGTTATTTTTCATGAAAAGGTGATTTCTTTATGTGCCTAGCCAAAGGGGTTTATATATTTATATTTTTATCTGATAAACTGTATACTACGGTGTAGCTTAATCATCCTAACACGAATCAATGGTGTCTTAGATTAAAAAACAAAACAAAACCACCCTGAAAAAAGAGACACTACCCAATTCAATTTTATACCTGTGGTGCTGGTTACCCCAGCATCGAGGGAAAAGTGAACTGCAAAAAGAAATATCCGTGGTTTTTATAACCCGCTTTCCAACTTGGGGAGTTTATTATCCTGGGAAATAAACTTAACTCAATAAGAAAAGAGGAAGGGGAAGATGCAAACTTAATTCTGAGAGAACTGGAGAAACTTATGAAGATTATGGTGGAGAGGGAACACAGTCTTTGCAAATAGATTCTGAATTGCTCCTGTCACTCAGTCTCTATTACTGAAATAGAAAGAGCAATGGAGAATAGGCTTTTTCTCTAAATGTATGCCAGCTCAAGTGAATAAAGAAAAATGTTTCCCCCCTTTCATAATTATTCATGAGGACAGCCTCTTAGTCACTTTATAACCAAAATGTCTTTGTAGAAATCCTTTCTAAATTCCCATATGTATTATTACTAATTACAAAGTAGATAATGATGACATCACTCTCAAGTTTTATGTGGAGTACATACATGCATATTGTGATCGGTAGGTTTGTTGTGTCAATCTGGCCAATAGGAACATGTGGAATTAATCAGGTCGCTGTTTGATTGGAGGGCAAAGAGATGAATGACTCTGCAAGACCCGCCCCCTTCTGTCTTGCCTTTGGTGATTGGAAGAGCTTGCTACTGCTTTAGCTAGTTATCTGCCTCAACTTATGAGCCACACTACCTGTGGGACAGCCAACCAGTGGATCCTGGAGGTTCCTTTGAGACCTGCTTCACCACACTGCTGGAGTATACATTGCTTGAGTCTGAGGCTGGTGGATCCTGTCATCTTGCATTGCTTGAGTTTGATATTCCATCTGGGCCTGCTTCACTAAGCTCCTGAGCTCCTGACTGTTGGTGACCTGCCCTGCTCTTTGCTGCCTGTGGGTGGACTCTGCCTGCATTGCCTGAGGGAAGACTCAGCTGTCTACTTCGTTTATTTTGGACCCAGCAGCCCTGTGAGTTGAAGGACTTCCAGTATATTAATGCTGTGTGGACTAATTAGCTATTATGTTCCTTCCTGATATAAAAATCTATCCTCATATATGAAAAAAAAAGAGAAATCAATCCTTATCTAACTTATCTTAATTCTTATCTAAACCATTCTATTGATACAAAATATGGGATTATGCCTCTGGTTTCATTTCCTCAAGCCAGGGCTGGGCCTTCTGTCAGCCATTTTCACTAAGTAGCTCTGAGAAATTCAAGGGCTGATTTTGTCCCCTGAACTCAAAATATACATTAATCACATTCATTTTCGTCGTTTCAAACAATAACAACCAAAGATAACAACTAAACAAAATAATCAAAACTTTCACTTTCCGTATTCTTTCCAGAAAACGACACAGTAAACTACATGGCCATTTCTGACCTCTGACTAGCCAAAGAAGAAGAACTACCATGAGGCAGAGGTCAAAGAAGCATCTGTTCTCCATCTTCATGATTTGTTTCTCTAGTACCCCACTCCCAAGGTACATAATGTATTAGTCCAGGTAGAGTAGAGAAACAGATATACACTCATATGTGTATAAGAAAGAGCTTTATATACAAGAGCAATTGAATATTGAGAAAATATCCCAGCCCACTTCAGATCAAGTCTAGAAGTCCAATATTAGCCCATATGTCTGATATCAATCTATAAATTCCTCTTCAGACTCAGGAAACACATGCAATGACACCAAATGGAGGATCACAGGCCAGTGGATGGAAAGTCTTGTGGGTTCAGTGGTGTGTAAGCATCTCAGTGCTGGCGTGGGTCTCCATGTGGCTCCTCCAGCTCCAGGGCTCTAGCGTAGCACCATGTGTCTTGTCCTCAGGAATACTAAGCAGAGAGTCTCTGTGTATCTGGCCTCTGGTCAACTATTTATCTCCATTTGCACCTCCCAAATGATTGACAGGCTAAGCTTCACCCCTTCACTCTTAATAGTCTCAAGTTGACAAATTATGCAACAACCATACATGATTAACTTAAATGTAAAATTTTATATGTTCATAGTCAATTTTAAAATTTTGAATTCTTTTAAAGCTATGTTCATTTAAAAATACTAAAATCTTTGCCAGAAAAAGTAAAAATGTTTTTTAAAGGAACTATTACATGTTCATAATTTGTGGCTTATGAATTCTGTTCTTGAAATTTCCCAGTTTTAATATCTTGGTTCCTTTTATAAAACCTGAAAGTAATAAAACCTTTTACTTTTTCTTACAATTATGATTTGAGTGAAAGTGTACAAAACAAGTTGGATTTTCATTCAGTCGTTTATGCGTGTTTTGTTTTCCCCTGTCGGTTGCAGTTCCCCAAAGGAACAGCCGTCTTTCTGCTGCCTCCTTGTGGTTACCTTTTCCCTTCGTTCTTCTTTCTGACCCTTCCTGGTCTCTGAGCTTTGCCTTGGCATAGATGGTGCCCCTTTGGTCTCTCTGGAATGAGTACCTCCTCTGTAGTTGCCTTGACCTCCTAGACTGCGCTGTCTTTTGGCTGAAAGTTGAGGCATGGTGAGTGGTTCAGTTCCTGGCTTGAAGGACAAGTAAGGGCCAGAGTTCAGAGTCTCCTGGTAAAACCTTTTAAAAAAAGCATCTATTGTGCAAAATGTGTGACATACCTCATTATACTCTCTTTGATGAATAAAAATAATATGACCATGCCCTCAGGGGACGCCCTGGTCATCCCACGTGCTCATATGTCTCCTCTGAAGTTGCCCAGGCGCCAAGTCCTGCCATCTCCTGGAACTCAGGTCGGGCTTAGGGCTCACGGTGCTCTGGAGATGTATGCACTTGCTTTACAGTACAGACTGCCAAGCAGGCCTTTTTGTATAATAAGATAACCTAGAGCATCGGTTCCCAAACTCATTTGGTCGACTGCCTGCTTTTCAGGAGAGAGAGGAAAAAGAGACTGGTGACCCCTGCTCAGCCATGAGCAACTTGCATGCTGTCACCCATAATCCAGGATAAGGTGCAGGTCTGTGCTTTTGCAGCCCCCCCACGCTGAATCATTCCAGTGCCCCCCAAGGAGTGAGTGATATCAACCCTCTTTGGGCAACACTGATCTAGAGGGTTCTTGAAAGCAAAAAGTCTCGAACCATTAAAATCAAGTTGCAGGTGGTTTGTAATTCATAGTAGGGGTATGCAGTTAGTGTTCCTAGCGGCAAATTTGTTTTCGTCCATGGTTACATA